AACTTAATCCCTGACAAAGACAACACACAGACAAAGACCAACACCTGGCAACCAGTGAGCACACCTGTACCTATGAACCATGTGCTGCTACTTGCGTGGTTTTTGACAGTTAGCTGTGTAACAAAACTAGGAGAATTGCAGAGTAAGGTGAAGGAGCCAAGTCCATAAAAATGTGAAGTTTGCCAGTTTTGTTGCTCCCAGAAACCTTTTTTCTTTTAAGTTCCATAATGTGAATTGAAATGTAATACTCTAGAGCTAAACATCGTTGGAGACAGACTTTTTCTCTGGTAGGAAGTTGGTGATGTGTAATGAATGACCTATCTGGAGTTTTTCACAGTAAATGGTTCCTGCTTGTTCCCATATTTTGACTCGTTTCTAGGGTGTGTGTTTCCCCCTCCTGACCACTTTTTAAACTAGAAATTTGCCTTTCTAATTGTCAATATCTTGATCGGTAACATGTAAAAAGAAGAGCAAATGTTAGCATGTATTACTCAAACTGTTAGTATTCCACTTCTGTTTGTGACAACGCATTTCCTCTTGCTTATCTATCATTAGACCAAACAAAACTTCTGAGAAGTATTTCTGTAGCTGAAACACTTATCTCATTCTGCTTTCTGCATCAATTGAAGACTGAGAATTGGTTGCATTCTGATGGAAGAATAGTTTATGTTCAAGCTGTTGTTATCTAAAGGCACAAATGTTCTTTTTGCATAATACTACTCTTTTAGTTGAGTAGGTAATGTTTCTAATGCCTAAAGTGTTAATGATTCTTTGAAGACATTATTTTTGCTGGAGACTTTCTGTTACTGTCTGTGTAGTTGTCAGACCTGGAGACTGTAGTTGCATTTTACTAGGTGCACGCAGATTCAGCAACAAGCACTGTCATGCTTGGAGAATTTGAATTCTTACCCTTGAGCTTGGCTCCATCGCTGCTGGAGGGAGAGATTCAAGAAACATTCTATGGTTAATTTATACTTTTTCCAGGCTCTGCTGTGAATAATTGTGTTAATGATAAATAACTGGGAGATTATCAGAAGTAGTTCTGTTTAGGCAGATAGTCTTAATTATGATACTGACCTTATTTATATATTGGTCAATAAACACAAATTCTGTAAAATAACATAAAGGCTTTAATTTTGGTCTGAATATTTTCATTGGTTATCAAGAGAAAAAGCCTTTTTCCTCAGGACTGGTATGACCCAAACCATCCAAATAAAACTCTATATTATTCCTTGGCCATGAGAGCAGTGGGCATATATGATCTGGGGTGGTCACTTACTTAAGCTCTTGTTTAATATTTATACAACACCTCTGCCTACATGGGCTTCTGTTTAGTGTCTAGTTTAAGTAATTGAAATAGATTATTAAATTCCAGGCACAGAGGAAGAGGGAAAAAAAAACTATCAGTCACTTTGTCACTGGGGAAGGCATTTTATTTTAAGTGTAATACATTTAAATTTCTCACTGGCATGATACCAGTCTTCATTGTGTTTTGAAGGCAAGTACAGAAAACAAGTGGGACAGCAAGATAAAGCTGTGTTGTGGAAGATATCTTTTTTAAATGGCAGAGGTAGATACCTGCCTTTGAATACTGAATGTTCTATTTTTCTGCTTTTTAGAAAACAATTTCAGAAACTGACATAATAGCAGTAAGGCAAAATTTTTGGTACTGACTTGACTGAGGCACTAGATCACTAGCACCGAGCTGTATTTTTTTAATTTAAAATTTGTCTTAAGTGACCTCTGAAATTAACTTAAATGTGGTCAAGACTTCAGCCTAAACATAGGTTACAGCTTCATTTGCTGTTTCAGTGTAACTCAGAATAAAGTATAGTTGTTCTTCATAATAAAATAACCTTGTGGTTTTGTTACAGTCCAGTGCAGTTCCATGTTATTGACCAGGTATGTTGTCAGTAATCTAAATGGAGAATAGATTCAGTAAGCTTTGGTAACACAGGCCAATGTAAGCAATTATGTTTACAAGACAGACACTAGAACTGTCCTACTCCTTAATTTCTGTCTATAATTTCTTCCAAAATCTGGATGATTTGCAGCCAGTTTCACACCAGCCCCTACACGTTTTCTTCCCAGAATCTTTTTGTACCTTATTTAATGTGAGACTTCAGGCTTCTGCAATATTGACTCCTTGCCCAAGCCCTGCAGAAGATCCCTGCAAAAGGTCCACTGCCCTACTGTGCACTGTGCATTTCACAGACCTTTCTCTTCAAAGGAAAAACTGAGGCCAATAATCAGTTGGAAAAATTCACTAACTTTGTATTGGGCAGTATAGTTCCAATAAATCTGTGTATTAGGTTGAGACCTAGGATGATGGTTTCTCAATATTTATGAAATCTGCTGGTGTGGGAGATTACAGTCAGATGAGAGTGAGAAGATTTGAGAGTCTCTTGGCATACAAGTGGGACAGCCTGGTGGGGGAGGGCGATTCCTTCCTTTGACAATCTGTGGCACCAGTTGCAGAAATGGCTCTGCTATGTGCAGAACTATTGCTGAACTGGCTCACATTACAGCCCAGATCATTTCAAGTTCACTGGCGTGAATTTTAGGTTGCCATAAAATGCTGTTTCAGTGGATCACTGGTGGTTCAGGAACAGCTGGCATGGACTGGAACTTCTTTACCAGGTTGCTCAGGAATCGGAACTTTGCCTCACGAGTCACTCTGAAAAGTATATAAATTTGTCTTGGGTGGGTACATTGTAAGGTTTCTTTCCTTTGCTTCATTTCACTGTGTGGTAAGTCACAGGTGACATACTAAAGCTGGCATCATGGCGACAAAAGCTATGCCTAACTTGTTCAAATTATATGTACAACTTAATTGTATGAAGTTCAGGAGACTCTGTGTGGGGTGTGTAAGGCAGTGGTAGTTAGCTACTGTTTTTTACGTAAAGGTATCATTAAGGCTGTGTCTTGCTGCATCTGTTCCCACTTACCTTTGAAGGAATCTCATTATATTCACGCTATAACTTTTTGAAGCATATGTGTATTTTAATTAAAATTTTACTTTCCCTGAATATTTACTTACTCTGATAACCAAATGTCTCATTTGTATCGAACTGGAACAGATTGCATGGTTTATTTCAGTTGACAGCACTTAATCTAGATTAATTTGTACTGTCCAACATTTCACTGATGAAAAATAAAAGGTAACATTGTAGGCATATCAGAGTTTGTCTACAGCGTGAAAATCAAAGAACTAATGTTTCCCAAGCACGTGCAAGTACTGTATTACTGAAAGGTCACTGTTCAAGCTTTGAAGTATGATATCATACATGATACATGACCTTTGGAGAAAGCACAGAAATTTTGTGGAAAGAATGGATATTTTAAAATTTGCGTATATGTATTTCAGGTAGGTATTGTTGTGCATGTTAGCACAGATGTGCCAATTAGGTCTTAAGAGCTAGCACTGCTCTTTGCTTTTCTTACAGGTAAGCCTTGCCTCTTTGGGTATCCGTCTCTGTTACTGTTACTTTCTCATGTTACAGCTTGGGACCCTGCAGTAAGATTGTCTTAAAAGGAACTTGTAAGAGGGTAGTGCTCAGATTTGTCTCTGAATTTGGTTTTGCTGATTGATAATCTGCTTTGGATTCCACATCTAAACATTCTCCTACCCAACTTCATTGTCTTACCACAGAACTTACATTTCAGAAAGCTGATCCATCCTGCAATGTAAACTTTGTGATTTGTTGTTTTACATGGTACACAAAAAAGCGTCTTATTTTGGGCAAAAAAGATGGAAGAGGGAATCCCATCATCAAGATGCATCCTAATTTGACATTCTGTCTAAATTCCTTTGCCCACCAGTTCTTGAGTTGAAACTACATTTTAAGGAATTAAAGAATTTAAGATTTGGACAAGTACAGTTTGACTATCACAGAATGGTAGAGGTTGGAAGGGAATTCTGGAGGAACCTCTTGTCCAACCCCCCTGCTTAAATGCAGATCAGGTTGCCCAGGATCATGTCCAGATGGCTTAAAGAATATAAATAATACACAGGTATAAGAGTATAAGCAATTAATCCTCATGCTCTCAAGTCTTTTTAAAACTATTTTTTTAATTAAAAAAAAAAAAAAGAAAAAAAAATGCTTATATGTCTTAACAGTGTATTTCCAAGGTTGAAATTTGGCAGATCATTAGAACAGGTTTTCATTTAAATAAGTAACACTTTCTAAAGCTATAAATATTTTTGATGATGCATGGTGTTACAGTGTGCCTTAGAAGTCTAGATAAATTTCTTATAGAATATACTTTTCTTAAGATAATTATGCTAAATATTTATTGCTAACATCGGCTTGTCCTGATTTCTTGGTAGTGTGGGTGTTTATGTATGTATGAGTCTATTAGTATTTCATGTTATTATCTCATCCACACACACAAATGAATTAGTGTAATTTGAATTCACATGTGTATGTATATATAGGAAAAAAAATTGCAGATCTTATCTTTGCTGGTTTTCTAATAACCTAATGAACACCTTATCAAAAGAAAAAAGTCAGTGTCTCTTAATTGATACAAAGAATTGGTGGTTAGGTACATACAGGTAACGCATTGCATTTGAAGGTTGGATACAGATGATGTGTGGCCCCATGATAACTTCTGTGCATGTGTATATGTATTTTTTTACTTTTTTTTTTTCCTATTTTTTTTTTCTCTCAGTAGCTTTTTGTGGTTCTTCCTTCTGGAAGTAAGCATAAGCTGTCAATAAGCATAGCTTTTCTGGCTCAGTGTGAGAAGCTTGACATAAACAATACCTCAGTCAAACACATGCTAAATGGAGGAAGAATGTGAAATTAATGTCTGCTTGTGTTACTATTTTGTAATACTTAATGCTGATAATATACATTTATTCTGCAATTTATGTTAATGTGTTTAATGTTTTTGATGAAGCAAACATCCCTGTTACATTTTTAATGTATTTTTTGCATGATATGTCATTGGTGTTGACGAGACATCTGTTAAATTAAACTTTTGTTTTTATGTAGGTTTATGAGTTAGATGGCATCCCCTTGATCCTGGACAACTGCAGCATTGATGACAACAATCCTTGTATCCTTTACAGAAGAATTCTAATTATTGAATATGACTCATAAGAAGAGGTGTGGGGGTTTAATATATTTATGCCAGCATTGCTTTCACTTGGTACCTAAGTCTAACTGACCTCCTGAGTTTCTAGGTTGTATTTAAATGTTCGGCTCAGAAGTGAGCAAACTCATAAATATGCTTTCATGAACTGGATTCTAAGTAAGTTGAACTGTGATTATATTCTGTTTCCTAAAATGATAAATATTACTGGTTTACAAATGTCAGTCCAAAAAGCTAACTGTGGTAGAAATCTGAATTTAAGACTATGTTTGGTCATTGTATCAGGTCTTAGAGCTTTTGCTTCAACTGAAATCTGTTCAGTAAACTGAAATAAGTATGCCATCAATTCTTCTTGTACTTCCATGGTCTGATTCTGGTAAAGGGCACTGCTGGATGTGCTGGGAAGGGCAGGGTAAGTTACCTTTCTCTCAGCAGAATAGCCCTTAGAAAACCTAGTAAGGAGTTTTGATACTGAGTTACTCTTTCTTTGCTGGAAAGAACAGCTGTGCAATGACTTTTAGTACTTCTTTCTAGGATTAATCCTTCATTTTAGCTGTTAGTAAAAGAGGATAAGGTTTGAGTCCTTCAAAGGGTAGAGTTGTAATTTACGATCTTGAATTAAATGAAATTAAAATATCATGGGAGCCTTTACTGCAGTTTGAGCAATGTGGAACTTCTTACACCTTTTGATACAGGCTGACATTTTATGGCTTTACTATAAACTTCTTACCAGAGGATAAAAAATTGCTTACTTGATTTTTAAAGACTTACTAGACATAATGACACCTCTTAATATGAGCTTTCACCACTGATCCATCGTGTGCAGTATTCAGGTATATGAAAAAGTAAGTAGCACTTGGGCAGAAGGCAGGCTAGCCTGCCATGATGAAGTTTGATGCGTCAGCTTTTGGAGCACAGCCTCTGACTTCTACTCTGTTTATCGTTTTGACCTAGAGCTATTCCAGGTGCTTGTGCTACATGAACTGAATGCTCCTCTGCTTCTCTCCTGCCTCTAATGTTCCTCATCTGCTTTGTTCTCAGCATGTCTTATGCAGGGAAACAGAAGAGGAGTTTTGCAGTTTGTGTCTGTCTGTACTTTCATCTGCTTTGCAGCATATTCTGCTACTTCTAGACACCACAAACCAAGTCCTTAGTAGCACGTAGGTGCCTGACTGCATTGCATAACATTCCTCTGAAGAGGTTGAACTGTTTCTCTCCTCCCTGTGTGCACCCAGTCCTGTCTGGCATCCTGTGATGCTTGGAAACCAGAGCAGTGCTCTTACTGAGATTTGAAAGCCTACTTGCTTAAAATTGAAACATCCTAAAATTGCCTGCATTGTAGCTTTTCCAGAGTGAATGTATTTTGTCTCCTTTCTCTTTCAAGGAAGAGTAATTAAAAGGAAGTATTTAGGCAGCTTTTGAGCTCAGTGTTGGGAAAGTTACTGAAATTTGAATATGATCACTCAGTGGTGCTGCAGTTTGCCAAGGTGATATAAAAAGCTGCAAATGAAAGCTTGGTGTAGCTCTTCAGCCATGGTTCCTTCAGAGAATCATGTCCAGAAACTTCTCTACGTTTTTGTTTCTAGTGCCTGTTTTTGTGGTTTCAGGCTGTTACTCGGATTTCTGCTTGGATAAAGCTGACTGGAAAAAGTTTCATCCAGATTCCTTTTATATAAGAACTTAGATTTCTTAGTAAAGTCTTTGTAGATGCACATTTTTGTTGACCTTTATCTGTTTTGGAGACACCAAAGCCCTACTGTTAAGATGTCATTATGTTTTCTACTGAAAATAGGGTTGATATGCTGATTTTCTACATTTTACTAAGTCTGCCTCTGAATTACACATAGAAAATTTTCCAAAGAAAAATGTAACTTTTGTGTTAAAAGTGATAGGATTTTTTTTTCTGGTTAAAAAAAAAAGTTTCCTTAAAGTATGCAGTTCATCAGGAGAAGCTGGACTGCCATGTTAGATGTTGAAAGAGCTCTTTATTACGTTTGAGAGGAGAAAGCCTTTGATAAATCTTTTTATTTGTAGCGTATGGAAGCATACTGAAAGAGGAAATCGGTCTGCTCTTACCCTAAAATAAATTCCTTTGTAAACCTGTCATTACCTTAAAATTGCATCCTTTGAGATCCTGAACAGTTCTGTAATGTGCATAGAAATATCAGGAGGTTCGTTGCTTACGAGGTTGCTAGCTGAAGTTCAACTGGCATGTTTTCATTGCTTTAATTTTTTAGGTTTGAATTCATCTTTCAGTGCCCAGTTTGGGAGAACTGTTATCTTGTCTGATTACATCTCAGATGGACTTGTATCTTTTACATTTATACTAACAAAGAGTAATTTTTCCTTCAGGATATTTCATGAGTAAAAGCAACAAAACCCCACCCTCATTAGTAACAGACATGAAGATGATTATGGATGCTTAAGAACAAATTTGCTATACCTCTTGCAGTTACTTGAATTGGTATTTTAAGTTTTCAGCTACTATAACTTTGCATGATTCCAAGTAAACTCAGTGGAAAAACGCTGAAAGTTGCCAGATGTTCAACTTTTCTCTGTTAGGCTTTTAGCACAGGGGGAAAAGGTAAACAGTGAGACTGGGGAAACACAGTTCATTTTTGACCTTGAGTTCTGAAGAGTTAAACTTTAGAGAAGGTTGAATGTCACTTTACCTTTTTCTGTACCCTTTAAATCTTTCATCTTGGACTGGCTGTATCCTAATCATAATTGTTATTCTGTATTCAAAAGAAAAAATGGTGTTTCAAATTGTGAGTGGACTTGTTTGCCTTTAGATTAAGCAGAGGTTTGTTCATGTGATAAATTTTTGGTTTGGAAAATTTAGTTTCTTCTTGTTTCTGAAAAGTTGGGAATGGTGTGCTTTACTTATGTAACCTGTGTTTAAAAACAAACCTGCCACAGAATAGCAGAGTGGGTTGGAGATGCCTATCTGGGTAATACTAGTAAAAAATTTACTCCAGATCCTGCTTTTCAGGTTATTTGGGTTGAAAAGGCATTCTAAATTAAAATATCTTCTGTTTTGCTCTCTGAGCCACCATCTTGCTCATCTCTGACTGACTTCAGCATCGGATGGGAGCCCTTCTTTTTGTTCCTGTCTTTTACCTCATCCTAAATTCTTATTGTGCCTTCCAGCTTCATTTCTGACCTTTCACAAATTCTGCTTGGTTAAGGCAAACATAAGGAGGGAGGCCAGCCCATTCTCATCAGAAGACTACTGAACGTAATCATACAGAAAAGGTTCTTGTGAAAGACTTTAAATAAACTAACCTGTTTATTACTAAAGACTTTTCAGTTTACCTTAACTAAGTTATCTGCTTTTTCTCTACTTCCTAACACACTCATGAGTAACACACACGTGTGCCTTTTTTTTTTTTTTTTTAATTAATTTAATGGTTGTGCTTAGAAATATTTATTACTATATTAGGAAAAAACATATTATCCAAAGTACTGTAGTGTAATAGCTGTTAGTGGTAAAACTTGAAAATCAGAAGTGAAAGGCAGTTTAGAAGATGGAATATTCTTGTTTTTTCAGCATGCTTGCCAATCTTAACCTTTTGAAGTTCTTATAGTAGCTCTCTTGATAAATTGATTTTCTGAATGTCTGAATTTAATTGGAATGACTTTATGTAAATGTCCATATTATATTTAACCCCTAATTGGGCATGTTTTTCTGTTAGCCAAAAGTGCAGTCATACTTGAAGAAAAAATATCTTGCAGTGGTGTGTTTATGTAGAATCACAGAATGGTTTGGGTGGGAAAGGACCTTAAAGATCATCTAGTTCCAGCAGGGACACCTTCCACTAGACCAGGTTGCCCAAAGCCCCGTCCAACCTGGCCTTGAACCCTTCCAGGGAGGGGGCAGCCACAGCTGCTCTGGGAAACCTGGGCCAGTGCCTCACCACCCTCTATGTATGCACACATATACGTGTTTATATATATGAGTAAACACCCAGCTGGCTATGTTTTAGGAGTAAGAATTTGCAGCATTTGTGAAAGGAGAACCTGTGGTTGCTGTGGATATCCACACATAGGCCCCTTAGTTTTAACAGTGGATGAAAATGTAGAAAATGTAAGTTACTTTTCAGATACTACTTCCCTAAGCTGCTTCTATTATATTCAGTCTGAAAGTCATCTGAGCGGTAGGTTGCAAATACTTTTGACTTAATGGCAGCAGCAAGTATAATTGTGGTTCATTAAACTTCTGGCTAAAGCTAGATGAAATCAAGTTGCTATGGTCTACAACAATGTCAGTTTGTGAGATGCCAGCAAAGACTTTTAGGGGAGCTGACAGACATTTTATTTCTAAGTTACAGAGTGCAACCTGAAACAGGCCACATACTGTAAAAAAGCCTCATAGCTGAATAGAAGCCAGTAGAAAGCAAAAATAGGAGTGTGAGTTGACTTTTTAGAGTAAACCATCATACAGTTGAACATTTTCATGTAAATGTGGCTATCTCAGGTATGTTGGCAAGAAAATACAGCATAATGTTACATCAGTAATGTCTGCCTTTCTTCGGAAAGTTCATTTTTGGCACTGACAGTGCATATAGTAGTTTGAGGTGATTTATTTGATTCTGTATTTTCATAAGCATACATAAAATCATATTATTTCAGTGGATACGGTCAGTGCAAAGGACCTAGACTACTGATGAAAACAATAATGACCTTCTCATGCCCAGTCAAGTTCTGCCCACTTGGAAGAAATTACCCTTTTCCTCATCCCATTGGCACTTGCTTTGCTGTAGAAGTAAGTTTGAAGTAAGTTTGAAGCCTACCTGAGCTAAATGGAAGTTTATTCTTTGGTAGAGAGCTTCAATTTTGCACTATCACATGTTGCTGCTGCTGCAACCCTTATCATTGGGCACAGAGCAGTATTAGAATCTTTTTTTCCTGTAAACCAGTACTGATTGTGTCGCTGTAACTTTAACAAAAAAGGTAGATAGTAA